GGCGCGCAAACTCCGAGTAACGCACGCTGTATAACCTTCTGCCACGAAACGTGTGCACGGTGTGCCGACACGAGTCGGGAGATCTCCTGTGAACGTCGCCATTGGGGCCTTCGGTGGAGCTCCTTACGGGGCCACGAAACATGCGAAGTGTGCGCAAAAATGGGGCGGCGCCGCCATGCGGACCCTGCCACTGGGGCCTTCGGTGGAGCTCCCTATGAGGCCACGAATCGTGTGAGGGGTGTGCTGAAATGGGGCGGCGCCGCCATGTGGACCCTGCCACTAGGGCCTTCGCTGGACTCCCAATGGGGCCACGGACCGTGTGAGTGGTGCCCCATCATGGGGCGGCGCCGCCATGCGGACTCTGCCACTGAGGCCTCTGGTGGGGCTCACTATGGGGCCACGAACGGTGTGAAGTGTGCGCAAACATGGGGCGGCGCCACCATGTGGACCCTGCCACTGGGGCCTTCGGTGGAGCTCCCTATGGGGCCACGAAGCGTGCGAGGGGTGCGCCAAAACGGGGCGGCGCCGCCATGCGGACCCTGCCACTAGGGCCTTCGGTGGAACTCCCCATGGGGCCACGAACCATGTGAGGGGTGCGCCGAAATGGGACGGCGGCGTCGCCATGTGGACCCTGCCATTGGGGCCTTCGGTGGAGCTCCCTATGGGACTACGAACCGTGTGAAGCGTGCGCCAAACAGGGGGGCGGCGCCGCCATGCGGACCCTGCCACTGGAGCCTTCGGTGGAGCTCGGTGGAGCTCCCTACAAGGCCACGAGCTCCCTGTTGGGCCACGAGTCGTGTGAGGGGCGCGGCGCTGTCGATGGCGATGCCGATGCTCATGATGATGTGGATCATGACGATGGCGATGATGATGACGATCATGACGCTGACGATGACGATGACGAGGCGGATGGGAAGAGGGAGGAGGGGGAGGAGGAGGGGGAGGAGGAGAGGAGGAGAGGAGACGCGGGGCGCTGTCTCTTCAAAACGAGGACCCAACACCACATAATGCTTGGGAATTGCAATACACTGAGCCCCTCCCCAGCGTAAAATGTTCCTTCTTCAGCGGCCCGACTGTAGCTGATTGCTGCGAAAGCTCGGATCTTTCACCATGCCACGCGCGCTCATGCTAGATGAAGGAAAATGCCGTAAACATAAACTGTCGGAACTCCGCGCGGGTTTCTTGGATCGGCGCTGGACCCCCCCCCGACAGCGAGATCGCACGCTCCTAGGCGGGGCTATAGCAGGCTCCCATCGGCGATACATGGGAGATGGGGGGTCGATGTGTCCCCCCCCTGAACCAGCCCCCCCCCACACCCGAACGTTAAGTCGGGCATGTCCCCCTACAGACAGAGTTTGGATGAAAAACAAGAAAGAGTCCAAAAATACGACCAAAATGGTCCAAACATATTTAAAAAAATCGTCCCCAGGCTATTTTTTGACTGTTTTTGAATCGTCCTCCTGCAGAGGGACACGCCCGACTCAATCCTGACTTTGCCCCTGCGGCAAGGGAGGGATCTCTGGTCTGCGGGCCACAGCGGGGGCCTCGGGCGGCCCTTCGGGATGACCTGGACACCCCCGGCATGCTCGCGAGAAGGCGAAGCGGGTGGAAACCGCCCTGAGGGCCACCGGAACCAACAAAAAGCGTTGCGCACCTTCGGAAACTCCCCCCCCTTGAACACGTTCCCACCCCTCTCGGAGGAGACCAAGAAGGTGCCGAGACCGCTGCTCCGTGGACCCCTCCCGGGGCGCGCTCTGACGATCATCTCGGGGCGAATCCAGCGGTGGCGACGAGGGCCTCCCAAGAGACCGGAAAAGGGGAAAACGGACGAAGGGAAGTGGTATCCAAGGCCGCGCTGACGGCATGCTTGGTTAACTGTGTGGTTGGGAATCTTGTTGTTCGTGACACCCAGCTCACGCAAAACAACATGTAGGAAATCACGAAACACCTTTTCCGACATCTCAAATATGCAAATGTATCGAACGAAAGCGACACAGCGGATTGCAAGAAAACGCGAACCACGCAAACAGTTGGCTTGGCCACGAACCGCGCCTTCCTGCAGTTGATTCTACATCTGCGCCGTTAGCGGACACACCGTTAGCGCGTCTACGGGTATGTGTACCTCGGCGGTGGACAGACATCCCTTTAGCAAACCCCCCCTTAGGGCAAACGGTCTGGGATCGAAACCGACGGACCTGGACCCGCAAAAACGACGGCCGCGACGCCCCCTCGCGAACCGAACACGACCAATTCGCTAATCGGGTAGGAGGTTCATCAACCTCTGGGTTCCTGGTCGATCTCCTTGTCGATCTCTTCATCCATCCCATTCCAAATCATCCACTGCTTGGGTTTTTTCCCTGGTGTAACTTTATGTTGCTCCCACCGTACTTAAGGACCGCATCCCAGAAATAATTTCGAGCACCCGGAAAAATGTCGAACGAGTGTCGAAAGAGTGTCCCAAACAGTGTCGCCCGAGCGTCTCACAGGGCCCGACACGTGAAAATCCCCTCGAGTGTCTGGATGCTTTTCCTGGCGCTCGACATTCGTTCTAGTGATCGAAGCTAAAGCAGGTCGGAACGTCATAAGTGCAACTCCTCCTCTGCCTGCCGCTTCCCCCGCTTTGGGACGCCCGAAATTGGCACGGAAAGAATGGGCACAATGCCCAACAACAAATGTTGCCCCACACCAGCAGCGGCCGCTGTTGGGCAGGCGGCCTTCTGCCTCGAATGGACACAGGCCGCGACGGCGTGGACAGCGAGCCCTGTTCCAAATGAACCAGACCCGCTGTCGGGCAATTGTACCTATTTTTTTGAAGGGGCCCCAGGACAAACACATAAATCCACACAAATAAGACTATCCCCCATATCTTTCCACATTTTCTGGGCTTCTGTCTTCCCCCCCACTCCCCATATGTTTCCAATCTTTTCTGGGGAATCGAGGACCCATTGTGCCTGTGTGTTTTTTCCTCTGCTGATTTTTCTCCGTGCCCCTCTCGTTCGTGCGGATCTGCGCCCGCAGCGCGGGAGAGCGGCCGGGGGAGGGGGGCGGCGGCTGCGCGTAGGGGGGACGCGCGGCCCGGACCGCGGATCGGCAGAACGGCTGCAGCAGGTCCCGCGCCGCCGCGATCTCTCGCCTGGGCGGCGGCGACGACGACGACGACGACGCCGACGCCGAGGACGAGGACGACCACCACGACGACGACGACGACGACGACGACGACGACGACGACGACGACGACGACAACGACGACGACGGCGACCTGCCTGGGCGGCGCGCCCCGGGGCCGCGCAGAGGCCGCGCAGAGGCCGCGCTCGGGCAGCCGCCAGCCATGGGACGGACACCCAGGGAACGATCAGCGAGGAACGAGGCCCCTTTTTTTCCTCGAGGAAGAAGAACGCACGCATCGGGAAGAACGAACGCATCAGGAAGAACGATCAACGAGGAACGAGGCCCTATTTCCCTACCTAGGCTCTGCCTAGAAGGGTTCTTACTCTTTAGCTTAAAGGGGCCAGGCAATGGAAACCGCCCCGGGCGGTTCCCCCAGTCCCCGCCCCGCGGTTCCCCCAGTCCCCTGGGAGCTTTAACCTTAGCTTTAGCTTTAGCTTAGCTTTAGCTTAGCTTTAGCTTAGTGTTAGCTTAGCTCTAGCTTCGCTTTAGCTTAGCTTTAGCTTAGCTTCAGCTTAGTGTTAGCTTAGCTTTAGCTTAGCTTTAGCTCAGCTTTAGCTTAGCTTCAGCTTAGCTTTAGCTTAGATTTAGCTTAGTGGTAGCTTAGCCTTAGTTTAGCTTTAGCTCAGCTTTAGCTTAGCTTCAGCTTAGCTTTAGCTTAGATTTAGCTTAGTGATAGCTTAGCATTAGCTTAGCTTTAGCTTAGCCTTAGCTTAGCTTTAGCTTAGCTTTAGCTTAGCTTCAGCTTAGCTTTAGCTTAGCTGTAGCTTAGCTTTAGCTTAGCCTTAGCTTAGCTTTAGCTTAGCTTTAGCTTAGCTTCAGCTTAGTGTAAGCTTAGCTGTAGCTTAGCTTTAGCTTAGCTTTAGCTTAGCTTCAGCTTAGTGTTAGCTTAGATTTAGCTTAGTGTCAGCTTAGATTTAGCTTAGCTTTAGCTCAGCTTTAGCTTAGCTTTAGCTTAGCGTTAGCTTAGCTTCAGCTTAGCTTTAGCTTAGCTTTAGCTTAGCTTTAGCTTAGCGTTAGCTTAGTTGTAGCTTAGCTTTAGCTTAGCTTTGGCTCAGCTTTAGCTTAGCATTAGCTTAGTTTTATATTAGCTTTAGCTTAGCTTTATCTTAGCTTTATCTTAGCTTTAGCTTAGCTTTAGCTTATCTTTAGGTTTAGGTTTAGCTTAGATGTAGCTTAACTTTAGCTTAGCTTTAGCTTAGCTTTATCTTAGCTTTAGCATAGTGTTAGCTTAGCCTTAGCTTAGCTTTAGCCTAGCTTCACCTTAGCTTTAGCTTAGCTTTAGTTTAGCTTTAGCTTAGCTAGTTTAGCTTTACTGTTACTACTAATGCTGCTTTCCTAGGGGCTCCAACTCCTAGGTAGGGTCGCACTGGGATATTTTTTTCCTCGAGGGAGAAGCACGAACGCATCGGGAAGCACGGACGCATCGGGAACGACAAACGAGGAACGAGGCCCCTTTTTTCCCTCGAGGAAGAGCGCACACGCGTCGGGAACGACAAACGAGGAACGAGGCCCCTAATTTTCTGTCAGGGCAGAACGCACGCGCGTCGGGAACGACACGCAATGACACGTATAGCGCACAGGGGAGCGATCCAGCACGCGCGCGAGCCCACGGGCCGCAGGCTTGTTTGCAGGGAGCGCCCCCCAGAGCGACGCCGGGGACGGGACAGGATCGGAGGACACACGTCGGCTTCGCGTCGTGCCGACTTCGGCGTTGGCCTCTGACAACCGCGGGGGTCGTTCAGCCCGGAACGAGCGGCCGTTCCCGAAGCGTCCAAAACTGTTGCAGATCGGCCTGACCCGAGGCACGATGAAGGCACGAAGCCCCTCTTTTTCCAGGGAGTAGCGCACAAGGAACGATAAACAACACATAGCCCACAAGGGGCGATCCACAACGCATGCGAGCCTAAGGAACGACCGAGCCCCTGTTGAAAAGTAAGTGTTCCTTTTCCCAAGCCGCTCGCTGTACGTTTGTCTGCAGAGCGTCCCACAAAGCGAAACCAGGGACGGGACTAAGTTGGAGGACAGGTGGGGGAGGTCTGGGTGCCAGCGGGTCTGGCAAGTGCATCGGGCGCCGCAGCCGTTCCAGAACGTTCCAGAACGCTCCGAGAGCGTCCCGGAGCGTTCCGGAACGCTGTGTAGCGATTTGTCCCGTTTCTAGGCCTGCCTGAGAAGAAGGATCCGAACCCGTCCAGAAGCCAAGTAGCCAGGAATCAGGAGCCCGACTACTTCCCCTGCCGACGGCACCCTCATGCCGACCAGGCGTCACGCACGGGCGTGCAGCGCAAGAGAAGGCAGAGGCGGCGGCAACGATGGCTCAGCAGGTCTTACCGCCAAGGGTTCAAGGTCCGAGCCGAACCACACGCGCAGCTGCCTTCCCATTCCTGCTGGTAAAGCCCACCTGCGCGCCCCGCGCGCGCGCGTTTGAGTTTAACGTGAACGGCAAGTGGGAGCTTCTCAATGACGTGTTTGAAGGGGCCCTGGGACACACACACACACAAAGACTCACACACACACACAAAAAAAAAAAACGAATAACCAGATTCCCCTATATTTCCACATCTTTTCTTGGTTTTTGTCTTTCCCCCCATTGTCCATATTTCCTTATTTTTCCTGGGGAATCGACGATGAATTGTGTCTGTGTGTCTTTTACCCTCCTGAGTGTTGCGTGCAACGTCGTAGGCTGCTGTCTGGACGACCGCTGTGCAGGGCGGCGCATGCGCCTCGCCCAGTTCCTCTGCTCTCTGCCCTCCCCCATCCCCCCCTCCACAACCTCCTCTTCCCATCCGCCACATCATCCCTCCCGCTCCATTTGCTTCACTAGGTTTCCCGCCCTCCCTGTCCTTAGCCTCGGCCCTCCTCATCATCCTCCTCCTCGTCCTGCGCCTCCGTGTCCTCGTCTCCCTCATCCTCCTCCTTCTCCTGCTCTTCTCCCACTTCTACCTTGCCTTCCCGCATCCTTATGGTTCTGCTCCCATTACTGTTCCTTAGCAATCGCTCCCTCCCTCTCCTACTGCGCCCTCGCTTATCACTTGTGTCCCTCCGTCTATTCATTGTCCTCCTTCTCGCCCTCGTCTTCACCATTTCCCTCCTCTGCATCCCCCTGCTCCCCCCTCCCCCCTCCTCCTCATTCTACCCACCCGCCGCCCGTTCCTTCTGCCCGTCCTCCTCCTCCTCCTCCTCCTCCTCCTCCTCCTCCTCCGATTCCTCTTTTTCCACCCTCTCATCCGCCCGCCCTCCTCCTGCCCACCCTCCTCCTTTCCCCCCCCCCGTACCGAACCCGAAGAAGCAAACCTCTTCCTCGCATTGGTTGCGTCCTCCCTCCCCCTCCTGCCTCTCTCTCTCGCCCTGCTGGGCCTCTTTCGCGGGATGAGGGGGACCCTCCCAAGACGAGCCCAAGCCTCAGGACGAGCCCTGTCTGGGCGCTCCCCTGGCACTCCCGAGGCTCTCTGGGCCTCCTCCTTCCTCTTGCGGGCCTGGGGGGGGGGGGGGGGCGCTGCCAGGGCTGGCCTTCAAAACAGGCCGCGCTCGAGAGCCTCCGGAACCAGACACGTCGAGTGGTGCGTCGCCCTCCCCCGCCACCCCCCCGCCCCCCCCCAGTCAATGAACTACTGCCCTGAGCGGGACGCACAGAGACACACTGGTACTATGCGTCCTCCTTGGAGGCGCGCGTCCGAGACAAACATTATAGTATATACCCACCTCGTGGCAGCCACATCGTTTCCCGAGCGGCGTGGCCGGGAAGCGCCCGCCACGACGCAGGTGCTGTGAAGATGTCTCGGTGCGCGCGTCGCTCCTGAGGGGGAACGACGCACACATGCAGCAGAAGTATGCTGGGGTGGCGCCCACTGCGGGGCCACCCTGGGCACATGCTCGGACTTTTGTCTTTCGGGCCCAGCACAGCGGCAATCGCAAGCGGCTCGGCGACGCGTCCGCACGCCTCGGCCTCGTCCGTCGTGCCGCCAAGCTCTACGAGCTGGCCCAGCACGCGTCAGAGCACAAACGACGCGACGAGCGCCAAACTTAGAATAATATATTGGGTGGTTATGCGGCATGCCCACCGAGCATTTCCTGCTGCGTCTTTGCCAGAAATGCCTGTCGGGCTGTGCGGAAGGTTCTGTACGACACACCGCCAGAATGGCCGCCACTGTATTGAAGAGGTGCGGAACCATACGTTGAGCTGGGAGGAGGGGGGCAGGACAGAGGAGTCGGAGGATGCCGGTGATGAAGAAAAAGTGTGACTCGAACTGTTGCAAGATCTTCATACCTGAAGCACGGCAAATTGGGGACATCGCCGTCCATCGCTAGTGTGCGATGTTTGCCCGAGCACCCACCAACTCACGGTGCCTCGCCTGCCGGCGCTGCAGTGCGATGGGAGGGGCAACAAAGAGCATCCCTCACGATTCGACGATTGAGGGAAAGCTGGGACGGCAGGATTTCATACAGGAGGGAACGGGGGGTGAGGATGACGCGTGAGGGAGGGTTCGGAGCGAGCCATTCGCGAGGGCCCGCCCTAGTATCCCAAGAAAGCGCCGACGAGGCTGGGCCCACCCTGCATCACACTTTGACCCCGAACGTCTCAGCGGTGATGTCCACCAGGTATGCCGCGTAAACCAGGATGAAGAGAACCCCGTGGCTCTTCAGCAGCCCGAAAGTGGGCGGCCATAGCGAGACCAGCAGCAGCAGCGCCAGGGTGCCCATCATCCAGAGAACGCCCTGGCAGGATGACCAAACATCGAACAAGGAAGTCGAATCGACCATGAAATGCAACAGACACGCCGCACGTTAAGAAATCTGGCCATAAGAAATCTTGGGGCACACTTTCCGTCGATCGTTGAGGATCCTAAGTTGCCCCAGGGCTTCTGTGGCCCCAGAAGTCCATCGGGGGATGAGAATCTTCCGTGGGGCACCTGCTGCAAAGCAAATTTCTAATTTGGGGTGCTCACTGTACGTCGAGTTGACAGACATCGGCGGGCAGATGGTGAGGCCTCGAACTCAACGACCGGCGGCCCAAGTCGAGGCCTACGCAAGGACGTCCAGACCGAAATCGGACGCATTGAATCCTCGAGATCGGATCGAAATCGAAACCAGAATCGATTCGAAAACAAAGTCGGATCGAAACTGCATCGAGATCTTTCAAATCGGATCGACTCGAGCTGGCAGGGGCCGCGCCGGCGACCGCCTCGTCGATGCCCGCCACGTCCTGCGAGATGGCTCCGAAGCTCAGCATCTGCGCAGAGTAGAACGCCCAGGGCAACGCCATCGCGAGGAACACGTTCTGCACGTTGGACCCCAGGGCATTGGCGACCGCTGCAGCGGGCTGCCCCTGCTGCGCCAGTATGACGGAGGCGATCGCGTTCGGGAACGATGTGCCCACAGCGCACACCGTGATGCCGAGGAAGCTGGTGGGAATTGCTGGTATATGATAGTGGATGCAGTCGCAGGCTTCCAGCAAGAAATACGACTGCAAGCCCAACCAAAACATACCGCCCAAGAAACACAGCCCCCATCGCCCCTCGTTCCGGATGTCCTTCACGTCGACCACGGACAGTGTGCTCATCAAGCATACGTTAACGATCAACTCAGGAAATGCTGAGAGTTTCTCCACTATGCTGCTATCTGCCGTCAAAGTACGCTTGAAGCGGACAAACGCGGAATGAACAGAGGCGTCGTACTCGTGCTCCCAGGGCTTCCCCAGAGAATACTCCCTGACCTTCGCCAGCAGCTCGTCGCGCTCCACCGAAGTCCCACACCTCACCCTCAAAGTCACGTGCTCCCAGACGTGTGGCCAAAACTCGAGGTCCATCACGCCCTCTGACCGGACAACAACCTCCTTGAGGTCCTTGTAGAGCAGCCTGGGCCCCGCCAGCACCGCGTCCTGGACGTCCTCCAGCTGCGGGCCGAGCGAGGGCCTCCGGGACTGCCTGACGGTGCGCTGCGACGTCCACAGGGCGACGTCGATGCCGGTCTCCACGGCGAAGTCGTTGGCGTCCATCGTCCTCTTGAGGTGCGTGGCGTCCGTCATGCGGCTGTGCACCACCTCCTCGACCTGCACCGTCACCCCGTGGAAGGAGCCCGCCCGGCTGCTCCTCCTGGAGACCTTGCCGTCGGGCAGGTCGCCGGGCTGCCCCGCGGGCGGCGCAGCGAGGCCCGCCGAGGACGGCAGGGCGGCCTGGGCTGCGCCGGCACCCCACAGCATGTCGGCCACGTCCGAGGTGAAGTACACCGCCGCCACGTACAGCATCGCCGCCGCAAGGAGCACGAGCGACTCCCAGAACTCGACCTGCTTGTCCGAGAGCACGCAGTAGAGCAGGCCGACCGACAGGCCGTAGAAGAACACATCGCGGGCGAAAGGCGCGAGGTCGAGCTGGAGCGGCAGGCTGTGGGTCGCCATGATCGTGGCGCCGATGATAACGAGCAGGTTGAAGATCTCGGAGCCAACAACCGTCCCAATGCCCGCGTCGCTGCCCGTGTACAGGGCGATGAAGTTGCAGAAAAGCTCTGGGCCGTTGCACCCTAGCGCGCAGATGGTGGCTCCGGCGACTGCTTCCTCGCCCCACCTCTGGAGCCAGGCCTGCTCGCTGGCCCGCATCCTGTCCACGAAGACGTTGATGGCGGGCATCAGGTACGCGTCGCACGTGGTGTGCTTCGCCCAGAACATCAGGCCAACGAAGAAGAACCACAAGATCCCGATCGACACGTACCGGTTCTCCTCGGTGGCGGTCACCTTCAGGTAGGAGGGCGCCAACTGTACACTTAGGTCGGGCATATCCTCGTACAGGCCGATTTCGGAGGAAAAATGAAAAATAGCCCAAACAGATTCAAACATGACACGCAGAAATAACAAATAAATAGTCCCCATACTATTTTTGTTTGGCAATTTTTGAATTTCCCCTGTGGAGGGACAGGCCCGACTTAACTGTACGCCGACACCGATCCTGGCAGGACCCGTGCCGGGCCCGGGATCGGCGCGCACGCCCCTGGACCCGTGCTGGGCCCAGGATCCGGGTGTTGCTAGCAGTACCCCTGGCCCAAGGTGCCCCCAGCTTTTCGCACCAGTTTTGAGCCCCTGGGACCTTAGTGGGCCCCGGAAACGGCAGGGCCGTTCTTTCACCGTTTCCGAGAAAATGCCCCTTGAACAGGGAAACGGCAAAAAAACAGCGACCGGAAACGGCAAAAAAAAAGCTCCAGGATTGGAACCGGAGCCGGAACCGGTCAAAAAACGGCGACGGAACCGGTAAAAAAATGGCGTCGGAACCGGCAAGAAAACGGCAAAACGGAACCGATAAAAAAACGGCCCTGTCGTTTCCAGGGCCCACTAAGCCTGGGACCCCCTGGGCCTCGTGAGGGGTGCCCTGGAGGCCGTCTGGATCATCCCGAGAATCCTGGGGGTACCTTGGGCCAGGGGTACTTCTAGCAACACCCGAAGGATCTGCTCCCTTGGCCAGTGAGGTATCTAAAATTGAGTCGGGCGTGTCCCCCTACAGGGGGATTTCGGACGAAAAAGGAGAGGAGCAAAAAAAAACATCAAAAAATGCCCCCACATGGTCAACACTACTAAACAAAAAACGTCCCCACACTATTTTGGGACTATTTTTGAATATTCCCCTACAGGGGGATTTTGGACGAAAAATGAAACAATAGTCAAACAATGCCCCCAAATGGTCAACAAATACTAAACAAAAAATCGTCCCCACGCTATTTTTGGATTATTTTTGAATCTTCCCCCTGTAGAGGGACAGGCCAGACTTACATCTGAACGAATCATGGGCCCAAGATCGGCCTGCTCAGGATCGGTATCGGTGCGGGTGACAAGCTGACGCCCCCCTGAACTTGGCGGCGCGCACAAGGGGGTGGGGGGAGGGGGGAGGGCTTCTTAGAAGCAGGCTGCTTCTTAGAAGGCGCCGGCCTTACATCTATAGATAGGCCCGCGCCTTCTAAGAAGCAGGGGTGCTTCTAAGAAGCCCTCCCCCTCCCCCCACCCCCCTCTGCGCGTGGCTGAGGCAAGCTGACGCCCCCCCGAACCTTGAGATCAACGGCAGCCAACGCGCCAGACGGGTGGAAGCTTGCAGCGGCATGTCCCGCAGACTCGCCCGCCACGGCCGCTCCGGCGGGCGTCCCGACGCCGCCTCGCCCGACTTCGCCTGCAGCAGGCGCGCCGGCCACCTCCGGCGCCCCCCGCGGGCCCTCGACGGCTGCGGCCGAGCTCGGGCCGCCGGGCAGCTGCGGGCGCTCCACGGCAGCCTCGCCCTGCGCCGCCGGGGAGGCGCCGGCCGCGCCCGCCGGGGAGAGGCCCGCGGCCCCTCCTCCTCCCGCGGACTTGTTCGCCGCGGCCGCGCCGGCGGGCACCCCGCGGGCGCCCTCCGCGCCGCCGGCCTCCCGCGCGGCGGCCACGGGCGCCCTCCGCGGGCCCCCATCGGGGGCGGGCGGGCCCGCGCTGCGGGGCAGCGGCGGGCGAGCGCCCGGGAGCTCTGCGGGCGCCGGGGGCGCGGCGCCGTCCTGCGCCAGCTCGGGGTGGCCTCTCCAGTGCGTGCCGCCGGGCGGTCGCCGCGCAGGGCCGGGTGGCACCGGAGCGGTCGACCGCGCAGCGCCGGGCGCGCTCGCTGCGTCTGGAGGCAGCACCACGTCGTGCCGCTGCTGGAGCAGGAGCACGCGGCGCGGGGCGTCGTCCCAGCAGTCTCCTTTGGCTTCCACGGCGCACTCCTCCAGGGAGCTCGCCAAATTGGGCACGTTGGCAAGGCAAGAAAAACATAGTAAAAAACAAAACGAGTTAGTCGCGAGACAAGAGCCCCGCAGCGCCATGGACGCTGGTAAGCAGCACAGAAGGCTGCGGGGGAGCGTGCCTACGATGCAAATATGTAGGCGTCAAGCCACGCGACGCCTTGAGCCACACTTTCTGTGGCACGAGCCAAGCTGGCTGGGCCTTGAGCCGACAGGCCGCAAGAGACTTCGGGATCCTCTGGCTTTCTAAAACTCGCAGGGCGTTGTGGGGGGGGGGAGGAGGAGAATTAGGAGGAGGAGGAGGAGGAGAATTAGGAGGAGGAGGAGGAGGAGGAGAAGGATGACGTTCATGCTCGTCAGGGGCACGCCAGTCGTAGCGGCCTTCAACGGCGCGGCGTCCTGGCTGGACACCTCGCCCCGACAGCGACCCAGGAGACGAGGCCGACCAGCGGACGCCCGGGCCTCGGAGCCGCTCGAGCGCGAGGGCGCCAGCCGCTCGAGCGCGAGGGCGCCAGCCAGGTGGAGCCGACGTCCCCGTTCACTCGTAGAAGCACAATGGAAGGGGCCCTGGGACACACAAGTACATACACACAACTATAACAAGATTCCGCATCTTTTCCCATGCTTTCTGTGTTTTTGTCCCCCCCACACACTTCCCATCTCTTCCCGCATTTCTGAGGCAACGACGATTCATTGTGTCTGTGTGTTTTTCCCTCCTGGACAACCAACGGCATATAGGTGAACTGTCGGCGCTCCACGCGGATTTCCTTGGATCTGTGCTGGGCCCGCCTCCCTGGCGCTCGGAGCGCGCCATGAGCTGCGCCAGGGGCGCCGCTAAGAGGGGGGTTTGGCGCCGATCCAAGACATCCGCGCGGAGCTCCGAAAGTGTATGTTTAGGTCATGTTTTCCCATATCCTGGGATGCGGGTCTTGTGTTCACTCAGACGCCGTCGGACCTCCTCCCGCACAACTTACACCCTCCTTCTCCTCCTCCTCCTCCTCCTCTTCTTCCTCAGACTCACTCATACTCAGACTCACTCATACGCATAATCACTCGCGATCAGACTCACTCAGATTCAGACTCATTCCCACTCAGACTCACTGAGACTCAGTCTCACTCAGACTCACTCGCGCTCAGACTCACTCTTCCTCACTCAGGCTCAGTCACACCACTGTCTCACTCAGACTCACTAATTCTCAGAACCACTCACACACAGACTGTGAGGATGCCTCCGGCGAGGGTTTGGTTTTAACACCACCAAGGGGGGCCGCCAGTGACACTCCAGGATTGGCGCTCAGATTGGGGGGGTGTCTCAGGCGGTTTGTCAGTTTGGGTGCCCAGCATCCCCTGCTCCCGGAGCAGATTGTGAGGACGTGTCAGCACTCCGAGGGGGGAGCCCACAGGGGCGGGGGCACTCCCACTCAGATGATCTCAGACCTCTCACACACACGCACTCACGCTCACGCTCAGACCACTGACACTCAAATACACTCAGACCTCGCAAGCTCACAACCACACTCAAATTACTCACGTCCACGCACTCATTCGCATCGGAATGCTCACACTCAGACTCACGCTCAGACCCGCTCACACTCAGAGTGCAGCAGGGTGGGGCCGAAGCGTCAAGCGAGCCCCCTTACAAACAAAAAGCGGTCCTTATTTCAGAGGCCCGCGCGAATTTGTTGGGTCGGTGCTGACCCCTCCAGCTTGGCGTCTCCCACGCCGCCCCATGGCGCGCTCCGCGCGCCGGTAAGGGGGGGTCCAGCGCCGATCCAAAAAATCCGAGCGGACCTCCGAAATTATACCTTTCTGCCGATGCATGTGTTTCAGGGGTTAGCGCATCATGACCCGAGGCGCGCACGCGGACAAGGGGGGCCAGGGGACTCATTGACAGAAGAGAATGAATGGGCCACGAAATCTGGAGATTTCGTCGCCCTGGCCGTGATATCGACACACACACACATTCCTCGCTCTCTTCTTGCGCGCATCCGAATGGAGTCCACGTCCAACCCTTGATCCCCAAATGCTAGCGTTTCGAATTTGTTTCCGCCGGTTTCCGCTAACCTTCCGCCAATCCTCTGGCGCAGCCACCTCCCGTTTACGTCCGCGGGCGTCCGTTGGCCATCTGCCCCCTTCCGCCGAGGAAGAGATGCGAACCTCTCTCCTTGAAGGAGGTACCCCTGACGCAGCGTGCCATGTGCGACGCGACCTGCGTGCCGATGGCGTTCGCGTGCTCAGCTTCTGTGATGAGATGCGGACTTGAGAGCGGCAGACCAGCGTGTCTCGAAGTGGCGCAAGGCGCAAGGCCAGACGTGCCACGCTGCGCGCTACCGCCTTTCGAGTGCTGGCGCGATCTCATACGAGCGATAAGGTGTCACATATAGACGCCCAGTCGACAACATCAATACTGGATAAAGTCAAACTCTTGGACACACATTCTATATCAATGAATTCAACTCGAGCAACCTCCCCTCCCGTCTGTAGTTCAACTATGCACTCTGTCGGGCGGGACACATATCGCACAACAGTTTGGCAACCAATGTCCCCAAACTCTTCTGAGGCGCCTGCCCAGAAACGAAAACAAACTGCTGTGTCCATCAAGCAGCGTCTCTTCTTGGCAAAATTACGCGGAACGCCAAGTCTCATCCGACCATGTTCACGGTGCCTTCGTGCTCTGGCCAACTGCGGAATGCTCATCCGCCTTTGTCCGCTTGGGAGCGCCGGCCCCGTGCGGAACCCACGTTTCCATCCTGTTTCTTCCGCTTTGCAATGGCATCCCTCGTGCTCTTCCACTTCTGCCCGAGACCGGGTGATGTTCGGACGTGGTGCCGAGATGTTCCTGCGCCGAGTGCTTCGAGCGCGGTCGTCCTTAAAACAATGTAAGCACTTTCGCGCGCCGCCTCCTGAGGGGCGAAAGCAACGTCGCAACGGATGGCCACCCGACCCGTCCAAGTACACACCAACTAACTGCTTCAGGTCTTCCAGGCTTCCCACCGTAGGCCGCGGTGCCCTATTTGTTGTGCGGACGTCGGTCCCTCTTTGATTTTTTGGCGCACGAGACGGGTCCGACGCGGCGCAAACCTTGCAAGTCTGCAGTAAGCCGCGGAGGACACGCTCGCGCAATCGGCCACCGCGCCTGCGCAGAATGGGTATGTTAGAATGCTCGCCGGTTGCCCGGCACTATCTTGTGTCTTCTAGGCGCAGCGCAGGTCCGATCGCGGGTGGAGGCCGCGCGCGCCCGACAAATGGAGACGGCGAAGGAAAACGAGCAATCAAACTCGCCTCTCTGAGACATGAAAATTGCAGGCAGGCTACTGCGAGGTCATGCAGTCTACCAAATCGCCATCGAAAGCTGCTGCGTCGAACACCCGTGTGCCATGAAATACATATGAAGGCGGCGTGGCGCGCTTGCTACTCAGATACTTGTTCACGTTATCTGTCCAACTTGTCCTCGGGCGCCCCGGGGGCCGCTTGCCTGAGAGATGGGGCATGTTTCAGCACCGCCTTCGGACGCGCTAAATCGACTTGAAAGGTCCCGTGAACGAGGCGTCATTGCAGCCTGTCAAGATTGGCAACCAAACGGAAACGGGGCGCTGCGACAGCGCGCTCTGGAGACGATGTTGGCACCGTCTGCTGGCGTCTTCCCAATCTTCATCTGGCCGTTTCCAGATGCCGCCGGCTTTGCGCAACATGGCTGATCTCGCAGCAACAATCTGAATGCGTCGCTGCTGAATCAGCGCGTGCTTTGCCAAACCGCGCGCGGCTGCAGGCGAGGCCGCGCTGTCGCAAACGCGAAGACGCAATTTGACAAACAAATTCTCGTGGGTCCAAACCGCCCATTTGGCGCGGCACTTGGCCCGCGCGCACTCCACGCGATAGACGGCGTCGATGTTCGATATACGCAGCATGTTCCCAGACAGCTTTCGCCCGAGATGTTTGTGCACGTCTGCGTCAAGCGTCGCCCGTAAACTCTGCTCGCCGAAGGCGCCGCCAGGACATCCGCGGCCATGGAATACCCAGGGTCATTCGTGAACACCTTGGTTTTGCTTACATTCAGTGCCGACCCGTCTCTCGACAGCTCTTCGCATGGAACTTCCAGCATAAACGTTGCGTCGCCAACAGTCGTGGCCTACAGCGGCAGATCATCTGCGCGCCGTCTGTTCGTCAATCGCTCTGGCCCCCCAACGTCAATGCCATTCCCGCGATATCGGCCCACGAAACGCCTCGCGGCGCGCTCTAAACCACTGTTGAACAAAGGCGACGACAGCACGTCTCCCTGTTCGACGCCCAGGGTGATCTCAAACAGCCCGCCGCCGTTGACGCCCGCGCGCTGGTTGCGGCAGGTGCCCGGCAAAAGCCGGGCGCGTTCAGCCGGGGCGCCTTGCTCAATGCTCAATGCGGTCGAAGGCCTAGGTCAAGTCGAGACTGACAACCCACAGGGACTGCCCCCACTCGCAAGATGTGCAACGTAGCTCCTCCAGAACAATGATGGCGCCATTAGCTGAGTCTCCCGGCAGAAAGCCGCATTGGTCTGAGCGCTGCGATTTCTCGGGTTTTGGCTGAAGACGCTGGAAGAGCACGTGCGCGAACATGTTGTAAGTCATGCGCAGAACCACTATGGGGCCGCCAATTCTTGACCTCACGCATGCTGCCGCCCTGTGGAAGCACGGCGAAAAGAATCTTCTGCCGGTCTGGATTGGACGAAGGGCGCCAGCGTGCAACCTAGAATTCAAACGCCCCAGCGCAGCTTGAAGCAGGCCGCCCCCGCAGCAGAAACATTCCCATAATGGCCCTGGCTGAATCTGAGCATCTGCCTGGGCGCATTCTCGGGAGCACGAAACGCATTTCGCACATGGGAAACCATGGGATGTCAAACGGGCCTCCGTTGCACATCGTCGGTCCACTCCCGCCTCTCCTCCGGCAGATCCACGTTTGAAACTTGGCTCCAAGAGCGCCTTAAATCCCCATTGTCGATCGGGCAGCGCACCTTCGGCCTGACAGGGTGCATATGGATCGCTGGCAGATTCTCCAAGCCCTTGAACGCGTGTAAAATCTTCACAACACGCGGCTCACAATGCTGTCAGAAGTGTTACCGATTTCTCCAGCTGGTCAACCTTGATAGTTAACAAAGCTCGGCCAGGTCCTTCCATCTACGTCGTTGATGTCGTAGTGCCTGGAGCGCCTCGCTTTCCCAGGGCTTGGCCTTCGCTTTGCGCGATTCTTCGCGCGCGCAAGCTACTGTCGCCGCCGTCAAAACGCGTTTGATGTCACGAAGCGCATTGCAAACATATGGGGCCAAATGAGCGTTCACGGACCCCGGCAATTTGACGTCAACACCATTGGGGTCCGGAGCTGAAGCCTGCCGCTTCTTCTGGCAATTGCGGGCGTGATGCTTCGGAGGCAGATCCGGAAATCACGCGCTGGCTCTCGCAGCTCGGTAATCAAATCCAGGGTAGGACATCGTCAACCAGACGACACATGCTAGCGCCAAGTAGCACAACATCGATTCGCCGTTTCAATTCAAGACAGGAACAAAACGTCCATTGAACACCCCTCAACTCGTAAAGATAATCGTTGTTTCCTGCAATCAACTTGTGTTCAAACAAGAAACTGCTGAGCAGGCCACTCTCATGTCCAATAGAAGCTCGCGCGTTGAAACCTCCGCCCACGATGAATATCCTGTGGCGCCGTCTCGCCATGCGCGCTTCGGAAGCCATCTGAAAATAGCATTCCAAAAAAATGGATTGTGGATGTCAAGGGCGCGGCTGGTACACGCTCAGAACCGTCAGCTTCTGAACCCCGATGTTCATGTCAACGGCAAGCACCCTGCCCCCGAACATTCGGCAATCCACGGCAAACTTCGGCAATCCACTTGCTGAGTACAAGCACGGCTACACATGCGCACTTGTCCTCAGCAAGGTGGGAAATAAACCGGTGTCCTCCGACCAACTCGTGGTCCGCTGCCTGCGCCCTCGCTTCAGTCCAGCACCCAAAAAACATGAGACATCGTCAAATTCTGCTCACAAGCCAACTTGCCTGTCATGAGTATGTACACGAGCGCTCTTCAACAACAGCTCGAACATGCAATTGTTGTCAACTTCGTTACCATCTCCCTTCATGTTCATGAAATATGCGCCGTCTCGCGACCACTGCTGTTCCAAGGCTGTCCCCCAGGAGGATGCCTTGGATTTGCTCTTGCCTTTCTCCTGCCCCTTTCCCTTCCCCTTCTTCATTGATTGGGCCTTATTTTGCGACCTTCTCCTGAACCAACTCCGGGGCGCGCAAATACTCTTTCCAGCCGTCCCCGAAATCGACCTCGAACTTGTCCCAAGAGACGCGGGACGACAACACATTGTCCGTGCCGAGGTAGAGGACGGAACTGTCAGGGTCCACGTGTAAAGCAGATGTCGGCAACCCTCACTCTACGAGGACCTTATTTACGGAAAACGCGAACGACTCTGGCAGACTCTCCTCCAAGAGACGGTCGCTTTTAGCCCACGCGCGAGTGCCGTTCCATTCATGGCCGCTGTCCCGTATCCTTTGGATCGCCCTGTCCCTGTCTGCGTCCGTGGGGAACTGCGCAAACAATACATCAACGAATACGCCTTTTGCGTGCACTGCTCCTGGGAGGGGCCCCCCATCCAGGGAAAGCGTGTTGCACAGCCATTTGCAAACATGAGCCTCGCTCCACTGACCGCCGAGGCCACCGAAAAGGACTGTACACGAAGTCTGGCTCATTTTCCTAAGCTGGGCTTCAAGCTTTGCAACCTTTGCGATGAGCTCAGCATCGATATCGTTGTAGCTGTCGGGCTTCATCGATCCCGACACCGAGATTGCACGCGAGACGCCTGTCGATCAAAGCGGAATGCAACTCCTTCATTTGGACTTCGTGGGCCTGCATGTCCGACTCCACGGCACCGAATCGAGCGTCTACCTCGGAACTGGGAATGACGAAATTCGTCTCGATGCGAGCGACGTCATCTTGTAAAGAACGAACGTCAGAGATAAGAGGTTTCAATTCATGGCAAACAATTGTGCAATCGGCTTGTTTGTGACACTCTCTCTGAAAAATCCCTGGCCGCCTCATCTATGCTGCCTCTGCGCCAGGCCTGGGCACTGCCGCTGCTCAAACGTGGTCCGTGACACCGTCCATCTCGTGCAGCGTGCAGGACAAGCGAGCCTTCTTATCCAGAGGGATCGGCGTGGTCGGCACAAGCGATGCAGATGCAGCTGCACCCGTTGACGCCACCTGCAACACTCCACGCGCTGGGGTGCCTGGCTGTCGAGAGCTCGCCGGCATAATGTAAAGATGTAAAACAAGATGTTAGAAAATAGTGTAGGGTAACGGGATGTGTGCCAGCTGCTCTTGAGATGTGGTTTCTAGGGCCGCCCCCTGAATGTGTCTTCTGGCGAACTTTGCGGCCTCCACACGGCCAAGATGTCCTCCAAGATGACTTCCAAGACACCAGAAGGCTCCGAAGACGGATCCAAGAACTCCCGAGAGGCTTTCAAGACGGCCCAAGAGGGACCCGAGAGGCCCTCCACGAGAGCCCGAGGAAGCCACAACCATTGATAGCTCCCACGTGCTGACAGACTTGTTCGAGGTTCTCGCCTGTGTGGGTTTCCGGTCGCCAGCGAGGGCCCAAGAGGCGTCAGGTATGGTTCCAAGAGGCCCCCATGAGGCCGCCAAGAGGGCCACCAATCGGCCCAAGAGGACCCAACGATCGCCCAAAAGGCAGCCGTGAGGGCCCCGAGACGGGCCCCTAAACGCCCCAGGTGGGGCACCAGAACGGCCCCAAGGGAGGCCCCCAGGGCGACCGCCGTGCCCCAAGAACTCCTCCGAAGAGCCCACGGGAGCCCGAGAGAGGCCCCGAAGAGGCTCCCATGAGCCCCCCCGGGGAATCCCAAGGCGACCAAGAGGCGTTGTCCTCCGCATCTCTGATGGCGGGGTGGCGACGCCTCGCAAAGAAACAGAGGGTTCGGACGGAGATGCTGATGGTGATGATGATGATGATGATGATGATGATGATGGTGATGCTGATGCGGATGCTGATGATGCTGACGATGATGATGATGATGATGCTGATGGTGCTGATGATAGTGATGGTGATGGTGATGGTGATGGTGATGATGATGATGATGATGATGACGATGACGATGCTGATAATGATGATAGTGATGACGATGCTGATGATGATGATGATGGCGATGATGATGATGATGATAATGATGATGATGATGATGATGATGGTGGTGGTGATGATGATGATGCTGATGCTGACGTTGTTGATGCGGAGTCTGATGATGATGGCGACACTGGCGACACTGATGCTGGTGATAATGATGATGATACTGCTGATGGTTGTGATGATGATGCTGAATATGGTGATGCTGACGATGATGACGATGGTGGTTATGATGATGGTGATGAGGAGGAAGAGGAAGTTGTTAATGATGATAGTGCTGATAGTTATGATGACGATGCTGACGATGATGCTGATCATGATGATGACGATGCTTATGACGATGATGAAGATGGTGATGATGATTACGGTGATGGTGATGATGCTGATGATGATGATTATGATAAAATTGATGATGATGATGATGATGATGATGCTGACGATGACGATGATGACGTGTTCCCAACGGGCCCGTGGAAATGATGAAATGACAACGGTAATACAATCAATATTTTGACATGCGAACTAAAGACCGTGTGTCCGTAGTCATCCACTGACGAGTTTGATGGTGTTGATGATGATGATGATGATGATGATGATGATGATGATGATGATGATGATGATGCGGAGGAGGAGGACGAGGAGGAGGAGGGTGAGGACGAAGAGAAGGAGCAGGAGCAAGAGGAGGACGGGGAGAGGGAGGATGGGGAGAAAGTCGGAGGACGAGGAGGGAGGATGAGCATGAAACTGGGTGACAGCTGCCTGGAGCTCTGGTTTCAAGGGAAGCTCGCGTGGGACGGGGGGGGGAAAATGAAAAAATGGCTTGGAGCTCTGGCGTCACCGCCAAAACGCGAAGGACGATAGGATGATACGGTGATGAAAGGCGGCCAAGTGGAGTTCCCCCGTCGGGTCAATTCGCTTTTGCTTGCGAAGTGGTTTCGGAGCGCCGAAGACAAGGAGAACGAAGGGGAAACTATTAACAAGGTGGAGGAGGTGGAGGAGGAGAAGGAAGAGGAGGAAAGGGAGCAAGAAAACGTGGATGGAAGGTTGGTAAATTGACAAACCGCGTGAAAAATGTCCGAACTCTGGTTTGAACGGATGGTGGGCAAACGTTTGCTTTGCCGTGCTCTTCGCAGCAGTATTGCTGTGCGGGGTTGTGTTTTCAAATTGATTGCAACCATTGCAGCGCGCGATACGCATTCCGCGCATAGCAAAGCAAACTATAGCTCAGAATGCCCTGGTCTGCAGTGGTGGTAATGACAAGAAGGCCCACGATTCTACGCGTCGGTCGAAATAAACATGTATAAACATGACAAACAAGGCGTTGAACGCAGACTGCGTTTTGGTCAGTCGTTCCTATAGATTATAGAGTCTTGACGCTTGACGTAGGGCAAGGCTAACAGTCCTCCTGCGCATCCTAAGCCTTCCTGTGTATCCACGGGTCCCACAGCAGTTGCTTCGCATGGGTCCATACAGCAACCCAGGGCCCGGCAACACCCCTCTTGGATAATTACAGATTTCGGAAGGCACACTCGACAACCAATCGGGATTGAAAACATCAATCCGCCACAAATCTGGATGATCCTTCTCCACTTGCCGTGGCCGACGCCCCCCTGGGCTTCACCGAAGACCAGCTTCCCCGCCCCGAACCGACCTGTGGCAGCCCCAATGCATCATCGAGGCCCATAGGCCGAACATTGCGAACAAGATTGCGCCCGTTACATTCTGGACAACGCGAGGGTCGCCGACGCATTGCTTAAGCATCTATTCCCAGGCCTTCCCGAGCCGCGTCCAGCAGCGAGAACAAGGAACCTCCAGGAACGCATCCCCTACGCCTCGAAGTATGAGGACTTCCCCGAGACTCTGGCTCGTCGGGGCCACGCTTCGCAGGGGGGCACATCATGAATTCCCGTCCTCCTCGAACGTGGGGTCTGGCAGCCCCGATCCCCAACTCTATGGGACTGTCGACTCGGCAATGCGGTTGTGGCCCAACTCGGAGGTATGCGACGAGATCATACATCCTCGACGGGCATGCGCCCGAATTGCCCCCCCGCGATATATCCCAGACTCCCATCCTTTCTGAGCAGACCGTCTTTTTTTAGGGGGGGGGGCGGAGGGAGACCGCGGGAAGTTGAGGTGAGACATCTCATGCGATAATCTTCCTCGTCGTCCTCCTCCTCCTCCTCCTCCTCCTCCTCCTCCTCCTCCTCCTCCTCATCCTTGAGAAGGCGGAAACCCACCCCACCCCTAGTCCCGACGCCCATCGCCGAGCCTGCGATTCAAGGGGTCGGGACTGGGGTTGGGGGTGGGTTTTCTCCATTCCTGGACCCCGAAAGACCACCCCCACCCCCAATCCCGACCCCCTGGATCGCGGGTTCGGAAATGGGGTCGGGACTGGGGGTGGGGGTGGGCTTTCGCCTTCTCAATCCTGTCCGGCCTGTCGAAGCTCCAGCACGCGACGCAGCCGAAGCGGAACGCGAAGAGGTCCTCCCGCGGCGGCCGCGGAAGCCGCACTGGCACGCCCGCCGAGGAGCCACGGCCGCGCCCGCCTGCCTCGCGCCCTCGTGGGGATCGAGCGGCGGCGGACAGGCGAGCCGCTCTCAGAACCAACAGACTGTCATACGATCGATCGATCGCGCCCTCTTAGAACGATCGATCGATCGATCGGTCGCGCCCTCTTAGAACCAAAAGAACCGCTCGTAGAACCAAAGACGGTCTTACGAGCGCGAGCAGTGTTCTCAGAGCGCGGCGCCCGCGTAACAGAACAGGCCAGCCTCGGCCACACATGCCCCGAGAGCATGCCGTGCAGACAGCAAACAGCGAATGCTCTCAGAGCATGCTCTGGTGGGCCTTTTTATCGGCGGTGGACGAACCTCCCTCTAATGAGCCACCCTTTAGTTTATGTTGCTCTCATCGTACTTACGGACCACATCCAAAGACATAATTTCGAGCACCAGGGAAAGTGTCGAAAGGGTGTCGAAAGAGTGTCGAGACAGTGTCGCACGAGTGTCTCCCAGGGCCCGACATGTGAGAATCCTAGAGTTTTGGGATACTGTTCTGGCGCTCGAAATTATTTCTGGTGGTCAAAGCTAAATTAGGTTGGAACATCATAACCTTTAGTGAAAACGGCCTGGGACCGACACGGACGGACCTGGACCCGCAAAACTGACGGCCGCGCCGCCCTCTTGCGAACCGCAAATGGCCAATTCGCGAATCGGCCCGGCGATCGAGGCTCGAGGGAGAGACCCCCCGGGCGGCGCCTCCCGCGCCGCTGCTTTCGCGCGCCAGGGAGGTGGAACCCAGCGCCGATCCCAGAAATCCGCGCGGACCTCCAAGAGTTCCTATTCGTGCGAACACCTGTTCTTCGACGTGGCCTTCTATGGATAGGTCGGGCATGCCCTCCTGCAGGCGGACTTTGGACGAAAAATACAATATAGTCCAAAACTATCCCCACATGGCCAAACATACCATAACAAAAAAAAAGCCCCTGATAATGTTTTGATTATTTTTGAACATTACCCCCATAGAGTTGCGGGTGCCACGACACTGGACACCTTAACAGTCCCATCATGGAATACAACATGTGCTTCAGACGTCGGAAGAATGTTCTAGGCAGTGTTTTGAACATGTGCTTTAAATGCTTAAGCCATGCGTAACACATGTTTTGGACCTCTGGGAGGTCTCTGGCAACATGCTTCCTTTCCAGTGATCGTCCTCCACAACTTGAACAGGGACCGACCGTCCCGGCATTCCTACAGTACTACCACGAAATGTTCTTAGAACCCCAGAAAGTTCTAAGAACAAAAGCAATGTTCTTAGAACGTGAGCCCGGTGTGATAAAACAAGACAGGCCCCGCCAGAAATGCTCTAAGAACATTCCGTGGGACCCGCCAAAGGTTCTTAGCACATTGCTCGGTAGGGCTACAGGCGAGCCAGGACGCTTCACCACTGCTTGAACAACTGCAGGAGGGCCGGGCCCGACTCGCTATGCCTGCGAGCACTTTTTGTTGCTCTTCGACGCGGGCTCCTCGGAAGGGGCCGCCGCCGCCACGGGGCCAGGCGGCCGGCTCCTCGGGAGCTACTCGGCCCGGCGGAGGGGGGGGCCCGGAGGCGGCAGCCCGGAGCCAAAGGCTGAGATCAAAAATCAGCCATCAAAACACATACCAAAAAGGCTCACAAACCTGCACAGAATGAAAGCCAAAAAGGGGGAGCTTGGACGACACGTTGAAATCAAACACTGGCCAAGACATGCTTACGAAATACCAAAAACTGGGGTGGAAAAGCAGCAATCAAAACACATAATTATCAAACATGCTCACTAGCATGCATAGAATGAAAACCGAACATCAAAAATGCCCCCCCCAAACATCAAAAGTCTTAGGTCGGAAGAGCCGGAGGTGGAGCACGAGGCTCTCCCCGACCCCGAACCTGCCCTCGAAGCGGACGTCGCGGGGCCGAGGCCGCGGGGCCTGCTGCGGGCGCGCGCGAGACGGGGCCGATGGCGTCCGGCTCGAGCCGGCCGATCGCGCTGCGGGCCTCCAGCCGTGAGGATGGTTTACCAGCCTGGAGCACATCCCTATCCCTATGCTGGGCACCTCCTCATCACGATGCCAATCTTTGGGATTCCCTTCTTTTTTGAGGG